TATTTTGCTCCCCTTCTCTTCTTCCACCTACAGACCTGCAGTATTGTCGTCTTAACCTGCTGAGAGTTGCTTTGCAGTAGTTAATGGGTATAGTGATTCATGGTAACCACCAGGGTTGGTAGAGAAATGTCACAAACTGACTTCTGCTGAGGCTGTTTAAACCTTTAGAAAACTGTGAGTGTGGGGAAAATCAAAACTGGATTTTACATAGAGAGCTTATGCTGCTGCACCTGGGTGCAGATTTGAGTAGGGAGTTCACTCCATCTTAAAAGTACTATGGTTTTGAAAACTACTTTTATGTGGACTTTGTGATTTAAAGGTAACATTTCAGTGATTTGTTAGGGAATGTTGGCTAAGATTTAAGGAAAATTAGTAATTTTTTAAAGGATAAGATTATATAATAAGATCTTCTAGGCAAAAGTAATGTATTTTTTTCTTTTCCTGAAATACAGCATTACTGTAAGTTTACTGTTAAACATATTTTCCCCTTGTTTTTTTAAAGAGAGATCTAGGGTACCTGTTTTGAAATGTAGTTTCAATAGTATACTATGTTTGAATTTAGGATTTGTCAGGGGAAAAAAGTATGTTTTTATGGATTGAGCTAGTTATGAAGAATTAAAGGTCATAGTTCCATTAGTATCAGCTGGCTTAGTAAGCTCTTCATCTCAAAAGAGGTAATAGCTATTATGATTTCTGTTGGAATTACTTCTAGACAAAATATAAATACTTATGAAAGTGCTATCAAAAGTGTTACTGTTAATGCAGCTGTGAAATGTGTTCTCTTCCTGTATTGAGCCCTTTTTTTCTTGATAAAGTCCCTAACACTGTAGGGTTACTGAGCAACTCTCTATGTGAGGAGATCTGAAAACAGTTAAAAGTAATTATCCGAGATCCCGAGTGCAACTCAGTTTGACAGTTTATTCCCACAGTATTTCAGCTTGGCGTTCTCTCAACTGCCTTACACTCAATTTTCATATTAAGAGGGCATTACCATAGTAGGAGACATTACATGGCAAAGAACAGGGGTTGAGAAAGCTGTTGCAACTGACCCAATCCTGATTAAAACATGTCTATTAATAAAGTCAGATCTACAGAAAGGTAGGGGAGGAGAAATAAGCAAATGACTTAATTTGTATTGATGTCAGGTTGGCACTTGTTTGAATACTTCAAAAGGAATCAGGGAGAATAACACTCAGACTTGTTATTTTAGCTACTGAAATCCAAAGACCAGCCATAAATAAGTAGGGCACATAGGAAATAGGGTTATTTATGAGTTTACATTTTCAGGTGTTAGCTATTTTGGATTGGTTTTGTAATAATGAACTCTTCCTATGTAGGTATGAAATCACCAGAAGAACAACTGGTGTGTCTGCCACCACAGGAGGCCTTTCCTAACGACCCCCGGGTAATAAGTAGACAAAGAAGTTCTGATTACCAGTTTCCATCCTCTCCATTTACAGACACACTAAAGGGCACCACTGAGGAGGACGTGTTGACAGGTCAGGTGGTGACAGTGGAGGAGCAGTGTGTGCCAGCAGCAGAACCGCCTGCAATGAGCGAAACCACAGAGAGGACAGTGTTAGGAGAGTACAATCTCTTTTCTAGGAAGATAGAAGAGATTCTGAAGCAAAAGAATGTTTCATATGTCAGTAGAATTTCCACACCTATCTTTTCAACGCAAGAGAAGATGAAACGGCTTTCTGAGTTCATATATTCTAAGACATCCAAAGCTGGTGTACAGGAGTTTGTAGATGGCTTACATGAGAAACTAAATACTATTATTATCAAAGCATCAGCCAAGGGTGGGAACTTGCCACCAGTCAGTCCTAACGATTCTGGTACTAAGACAGCATTGAGTCCTTTGGGAAGGCATGTCACACCAGTCTCCTCAAGTGACTTCAACAAACAGCTCCTTGAGCCACTTGGTAGTGATTCTTTGAAAGACACCAACTCTAATGAGCAGCATTCCTCTTCAACTTTGGGTTTAACTGAAGTAGAAGTGAACCAGCCGCACCACGTCACAGAGCCAATGGTGACCTCCGATCATACTGTACAAAGTGATACGGCGCGGGAACCAGTAGAAAGAGAAGCAACAAAGTCGCCCAGTGATGTAAACATTTCTGCCCAACCAGCTCTCTCAAATTTTATAAGCCAGTTAGAACCTGAAGTATTTAACAGTTTGGTTAAAATCATGAAAGATGTCCAGAAAAATACTGTGAAATTTTATATTCATGAAGAAGAAGAGAGTGTGCTCTGTAAAGAAATAAAGGTAACTAAATGATAAGGTAATAGTAATGCTGTGCAAACTTACCTTGTTGGGTCTGACCTCTATAAAATGGATTTTTTGTTTGTTTGTTTTTAAATGTTGACCGTATTATTTTCGAAATTAATGCCGAGTCGGATAAAAGACTAGTAAGTTCAACTAAATTCAGAACCTGTGATCTACGTATCTTAGAATTTTAAATCTTGTTTTGCAAAGTGTTATTTTAAGGACCAGTTGTATACATACCACAGATACCTTTAAAATGTTGATTCAAAGATTTTAAATATTTCTCACTCGGGTGTTTTGTGAAGGGGAGAGAACGACACAGACAAGTGAAGGAGGTTGTCAGTGTTCACCTCATGAGGGTTTATCCGTCAGTGAGGAAAGCACAGCCGCCCGGGCTGAGCTGGTGGTGGTGCCAGTCGGCGTGTCTTGAGGCCCTGGTCACGCCACGTTCTCCGCAGCCCTGAGTGCTCAGAGCACCTGGTCGTCCTGAGGGGCTCCCCAGTCACGAACGATGCCTCACTGTAAGATGTATTTTCTCTATTGAAGCTGTAGAGTAGACTAGCGTTTCAGGTATTTGGTTTAGAAAACTACACGCATGTATTTGTGTAAGTATAGACATAGATATTTAAAATCTGTAACAATAGGTAAGTAACTTAGATGGAAGAATTATATCAGTGGTTTAATATTACCAATTAGTATTCACTAAATTATGTAGCATTTTAACTCCTTAAGGGTGTGCTTAGTTTTTAAAATAAATGCCTGCTCCCATTTATGGATTTTATGTACCGTGATGAGCTTCTGCTTTTTTAGTTAGAGGAAGCCTAAGGGGCTATAAGTAAGTGAGCCCAGGGTGGGCCAGAAACTGCATGCTTTGACATATCCTGAGCCTTTGTCAGTCTGGGGATCTCTTCGATGCCAGCGTGTTTCATGAGACATGCTCATGAGAACACGCAGAGCATAGAAAAGGAGGCAGCACAGTGCTCAGTGTGCCACCTTTACTAGTTCCTTGTAGTTTCCTGGGAAGGTGAGACCAGACTTAACCAGGAATTTCTTGGTTGCATTTTTGCCCTGTATGATTGAACACTGAGCTTTTTCTACTGCCAGCAACATGTTTCCATCGCTTTGGGGGCATAGCTGCATGTTGGTGTGCAGCTAGGCAGGTAGGAGAATGGGTTGGGCACAGTTTCCAGTGTGCTCAGCATAACTCTGTCTCCTCCCACTGCATTTATAAAATTGTAACACATTTTGGGGAAATGCATTTACTTATGAATGGTGATTTTAATTCCGGCTTAGAATAAATCATATTGCTGCTATTTATTTTATGTAGAAGAAGAGGATGCTGAGTATTTTACAAATCTGACAGGAAATCAGATTGGAACTTTAATTCTTTTAATATCCATTGGAAGATTTCCAGCAAAAATGTTACAATAAAGGACTTTATGAATAAAATTTTAAGCTCCCTAAGTATTTTTGAAGTCAAACTGAGGTGTTATTGTATGAGTTAAAATGTTTAAAATGAACTTGCATTTAAAGCTTCTTAATGTAAAAAGACCTAAAATTACAAGCAGGTCTGTCAGACAATAATTCACCTTTTCATCACCTGACTAAGCTGCTTGAGGTTTGCCCAGAAGGTTAGAGCAAAATTTAAAAGATGCTACTTTAGGGCTACACAGAAACATTTACTTTGGGTGTGGCACTTGTAGACAGCTCTTGAAAGAGCAGTAGACTTGAGGCAAGCTTGGGTAAATTTATGGTTATCCAGCTAGCCATGCCAACCCTTGAGAAAATCAGTCTGCCCCTGTATCTGTAAAATGAGGGAAGTGACCTCCAGAATCCTGCAAATTCTTCAGAGTTCGTGGTTGCACCGGCGGGCAAAGAGAACTCTGCCAGGACTGGTTATCTTGTGTCCTTTGAGAGGTAGTACTGTATCACCAGCATGCAGGGAGGTATTAGAAGGGAGAATCTGTTTTGTTTGAAGGTATAAACTCGACGGGCATGACTAATTAGTAAGTAAATACCATTGTACATACTGAAGCTCTGTATGAATGATCTTGGGGCTGTTGTGCATTGAATGAGTAGTCGGAAGAGTACTTTGTAACTCTGAAGAGTTTACCAGCAACACTGCTGCAGATAACGAAGGGCGTGCTTTGAAAGGAAAGGAAAATGGAAGTGAGGGAGTGCTTAATGATTGAGCTCTGAGTTAAGTAATAAGAGTTAAAAACCTGGGCTAATCTGTTGTTCTTATGTTTCTTTTACCCCACACTGGCATTTACTTGGCTTTGATTACATAGTGTTGAAACATCATGACTGACCACTTAAACTCTGAGCTCCAGACTCTTCTTAAGAGTGGACTTAATGATTTCTGAGGTCCATGGTGTAAGGTCATCATTAATAGTGGTCTAATAGTTAAACTTCCCAGTATAGCTTGCACTTATGGTATTAAATAGATGTTTGTAAAATAAAGCTTTTAAATGTTAATTTAGTTTTTTTTCCTTTAACAGGAATATCTTATCAAATTAGGCAACACAGAATGTCATCCAGAACAGTTTTTGGAAAGAAGATCAAAATTAGACAAACTATTGATTATTATTCAAAATGAAGATATTGCAGGTTTCATTCACAAGGTAGACTATTAAGTCCAATTTCCTACATCTTGGTTACCAGAAAAGTCCCTTATTTTAAAATATATCTTTGAGACTAAAACTTTTAAAAATATCCTTATAAACTTTAAAGGAAATAAAACTTTGAGATTGGGAGACTTAGGGCTTGAGACTTAAAAGTACCCTTCTGTGAATCAGCTTGTGAGATTGATATTTGTGGCACATCACAGGCCTTCCCTATCACGCAAATAGTCAAGACTAAGAATACTGATTCCTTGAATGCCAAATGGGTCTGCTGACTCTGTGTCGTTGTCATTTTTATTTGTATAAAACCTATTTGTACCCCTTCTTTGCCTTGGATTTCTAAACCAGTCCCCCTTTCTCTTGGGTTTGGAGGTACCTCATCTGAGTCTTAGGAGCTTATCTAAGTCCTGCTGCTCTTTGAAGTCTTTCCTGACTGTTCCAGTCCATAGGTTCGTGCCCTCATTTGAATTCTGACTGTATTCACAGGGCCAGACAGGTTAGCATTTGTCATTCTGTGTTTCCAGGTCTTTGGTAAGAGCCTCTTTAGGGTGTTCTGTTTATGGTAGATAATGTTCAAAATTATGTTATGGAAATAATGTTCAAAATATTATTGTTGTGCTTGGCTTTTCAGAGGCAACACAGTAATATAGGTGAGCCATAGTGCATTTTGGTAGACTTTTCTTGTTAGGTTACTTTACACTGAGTCTGTCTGTCCTTACTTCTTTTTTCTTTTTGTATTTAAATAGGTACCTGGCTTGGTGACATTAAAGAAGCTCCCTTGTGTTAGTTTTGCTGGTGTTGATAGTCTGGATGACGTTAAAAATCATACATACAATGAATTATTTGTATCTGGAGGCTTTATTGTTTCTGATGAATCCATTCTAAATCCAGAAGTTATCACAATTGGTAAGATTCATTTATTCTCTTAAGCATGCGACTTCTGTCTTCTCTAGGTTTTTCTTATTAGTGACTCACTCGTACTTTTTAATGTATTGTCCGTTCTTGCCAGTCACAGATAACTAGTACATTTCCACCATTTTTGTGAGCTTTTATTATCTCAGGTTTCTTTCCCATTCTCTTACTCTTTATGAATAACTTCCCCTAAATCTGGTATAAAGCAAGGCTCTCTGCACCTAATGCACTTGGATTACTTCAGGCTTCTTATTATTGACGCTTTTTTATTTTTTACATGTAGATGTTAGATCTGAAAGAGGGTATACAGATCTGTCTCCATTAGAGGAGAAAAAAGAGAAAGAAAATACTACTACCTAGGAAAGTAGGTGTTCCTACATAATAATATCAACAGAATCTTCTTCCACAGCTTAGTTGTGGAGTGACTTATTTACTGAATTAAAAAATGAACTTTGTCTCTAACAGAGAACCTTAAAAATTTTTTGACATTCCTCGAAGAACTTAGTACCCCAGAAGGAAAATGGCAATGGAAAGTCCACTGTAAATTTCAGAAAAAGCTAAAGGAACTGGGCAGGTAATGTTTGAAAAATAACTATATAAGGGTTATTGATTTTAACATTATGCTCACAAAATTGTTCTCTTTTTCTGGATGTTTGTAGATTATAGTTGCTACGTAGTTTTCACAGATGTCCTTAGCCAGCTGTAAAGGGAATGTTTTAGATAGTGAATTATTCTAGCCTGTTTGAAAGTGGTGCTCCTGTTCAGGTAGAGGTTTGATGAAGTTCTGGTTAAGTTATTTAGATAAAATAGGTTTAATCTTTGCCACTTGGGTTTAGAATAATCATCAAAATGGGATAATCAGCATTCTTTCTTACAGAACTGTGTATGTCAGCTAGATCAGGCCGTCTCCCAACTGTTAATTTAGTAACATCAAACATGTGAGATAAGGATTAATCTTGACATAATAAGGGGATCTGTTATTAGGATATTCATTTATATAATTGATTTCTACCATGCCCAGAAGTCACTTCTCAGAGTGTGATTCTTAGAGCACTCGTTACATTTAGAGGCTCTGCAAGTGATTATTGGATTCAGATGAGTTTGGGATAATATATCCTACTAGAGTCCATACAAAGTACTTATTTAAAGGATATGAGAAACTCTGTAGCCAAGAGTTGTTTTACATTTTGTGAGCCAGCATTTTCTAAACTAATACCTATTGATATTCCATGGCACATAATTAGGGCTTAAATAATTATAAGTATTTAACTTTTTATAGTATTTCATTTGGGGAGTGGGTGATAAGGTTCATTCATTCATTCATTTTTTTAATGGAGGTACTAGGGATTGAACCCAGGACCTCATGCATGCACTCTACCACTGAGCTACACCCTGCCCCCCTATAGATTTCATTTTTTAAAAACTTGTTTTAGCTTCAAAGCATGTGAAACAGGCATTGGGCAAGTCTTATCTTTATATAAGAGATAGCAGTCCTGAGGCCCAAAGGAATAACTTGTACAAATTAGTACCTTCATCTTCCTGATAGTAGCCAATAATTTCTACCACATGTTGCCTTGTGCCTGAAGGTTCAGAAATAGTTTAGAACCATGTATTTTTTGAGGAAAAGGTTTTTTTTGTCCGTATATGCCTTTCACTACAGTTGTAAATTAGTAAAGCTGAAGAGAATAAGGAAAATGGCTGGTTGAGATTTTAGTCTAACCTGAATAGCTGGCCCTGAGGCTTAGCACCCAGAGAGCCCCTGCACTTACACGTGGGTTGCACAATTCCTGTTCTCCCTCTTCTAAGAAGCACCTCTACGTCAGGCAGTGAGCTAATAAGCACTGCAGTTGTCATTAGTTGCCTCAATTGAGAAGTTACGGTTTCAATTTTAAGCGAAAACTTCCATACTAAATATCAGAAATGCAGATCCAGATATTGAACTACTTAATTTCACAGATTGAATGCTAAAGCTCTAAGTCTGTTGACGCTTCTGAATGTCTATCAGAAGAAACACCTGGTTGAAATTTTGTCATACCACAATTGTGATTCACAAACTCGAAATGCTCCAGAATTGGATTGCCTTATCAGACTTCAGGCTCAGAACATACAGCAACGACACATAGTCTTTTTAACAGGTAAAGAGGGTGCTCTTAAGCTTTTTGCTATGAACATAGGAATGTGGATAAAAAGATTTTTTGGGACTATGTTGGGTATTAAGCCACAGTTCTGAAAATGTGGAAGAAAGGGTTTTGTGAGGGCTGGGGGCAGGCATCATTTTATATTTTCAAGTGTTGAGTATAAAACTTTTTTTTTTAATCTAGAAAAGAGTATCAAGGTGCTTTCCAGTTATACTGATAATGGGATAGTGGTCGCAACTGCTGAAGACTTTATGCAAAACTTTAAAAATCTTGTGGGCTATCACAACTCAATCACAGAAGAAAACCTTCCATTGCTTGGTGCTAATGAGACTCTTGAGTCACAATCACAGTCAGGTAACTTTTCAGTAGTTTTCATTTTCTTTAAGGCAGACAGAAAAAGAATGGTTTTGTTATGATTTCTTAAAAAAATTCCTATTTTGAAGGTACTCACCTCAGTGTAAACAGCCTCAGGGGAAATGTTTTAAGGTATTCATCATTCTTTTACTTAGCATACACAGAATCTACTCATTTATTATACTGTAGTCAGTATGAGTTGTTAGAGTTAACCGCAGACTGCACACGATAGATGGGCATTTCCTCTTTGAAGGTATGTAAGTTTATCGGCTGCTGTTGTGAGCAAAGGGGTTATATATGAAAAAGGAGAACCAGATACGGGGATTTAGCACTGGGCCATTAATCTCCCCAGACATATAAAGCGATTTGATTATGAGGTAGTAGAGGTACCCATAGCTTTAGCCCTTTGTGAGATGGCCTCTGCTTTGGTTCCAGGTTTTATGAAAAATGAAAGATGTACTTACTTTTGTTTCTGAGAAAAGCAGAGATGATCGAACATTTGATAGAGCTAACCAGTTTCGTAGTAATCCAGTGAAGCTAGATGTCAAAATTTTTATTTTGTATTTGTCTTGTCAAATACTGAATTACCGTATAACTTTAGATGCTGTTTTGACATTAACCCCTTTGGAGCTGGGAGTTGGGATTTCCCAACATTAAACGTGAACACATTTCGCAGAAGCTTTTAGCATCGGATTATCCGGACATTCACACCTAGTGTGAGTGTTGTGACTAAGTGAACTTGTGGCAGAAGACCAAGCTTTAAGGGATTGTGGACTTGCTGACCCTGACGCATTCATTATATTGTGTGAGTAGTGTATAATTTTAAAACTTAAACAAATTGTGTATTTCAATAGAGGAGGACTTTTTGTTTTTTAAATGTAGCTCTTTTAGAAAACGATGAAAAGGATGAAGAGGATATGTCTCTGGATTCAGGGGATGAAATCTCACAAATAGAAGTATGCAGCAATTTTCATTCAGAAATATTGGCGACAGAAACCAAAGGATCAAGTGGAACAGATCAAAAACAGAATATTCAAATTGAGTTGCAATCGTCTCTTGACTTGCAAAAAAGTTTATTAGAAGATAAGACTTATTACCAAATTGATTCTCGAGAGAGAGCTTCTATTGATATAGAACGCTCTGAAGGAGAGAACAGCAATTCAGCTGAACAAGAGTCATATAGCAACTTTCAGGTTTATCACAGTCAATTAAATTTGTCCCATCAGTTTAGTCATTTTAATGTTCTCACTCATCAAACATTTTTGGGGACACCATATGCCCTCTCATCAAGTCAGTCTCAAGAAAGTGAAAATCACTTTTTATCTGCTTATACTCAAAGCTCGGATAGAGATAAACCTCCATCTCCAGTAAGTTGGTGGAAAAGTGATTCTTCCAGGCCATTTTCAAAAGAGAAATAACTTTTTTTAAAAAATAGGTTGTTACGGACTTTTCTCTGTTTCTTAAAACTGAATTAACAATTTATATTTCATTCGCTAAACAAAAGGTTTCTTTTCCTTTCTCAAATGTTTTTGTCCCTCTTATTTAAATCATGATGGCCTGTAACAGTTTAAGCATCTGAAAATTGAAATAAATATATATATTTTTAACATGTATTGTACTTGAATTATCTCATGTTGGCACTTTTAAGTTTTCCATTTATATGTTGCCTGTACCTTGGCTTCAAATTGAAGTTTTATAATATAAAATAGGTATTTGCAAAAGGACAGTGAATAGTAATGGTTTTACTTTTTTTCTTCATCTTATGTCAGAGGATCCCAACTACTTTTGCTGAAATGATGTATCAACTATTGTATTTACTTTAAGCTTTTATATAGTGTTTTTAACACAGGTATAAGCCAGTGATGTTAAATATTTACAGGCTTTTGGCTCAATACCTCAAGATTTACTGAACAGTGCAGCTTCATTTAGATGATAAAACTATGGACTTACCAGGCAGCATAATTTTTTATCTTTAGAATTAACTATGTAAAAATTGCCCATAGCTAAAAATTTTGGTCAACCTTTTATTTGGGAGTATTTGATAATTACAATTTTTAGTGCTTGTGTGGGCTTTGATTTGACTTAACCAAATTGTTTCATATTTCAAAAGATCAGCTTCTGTTTATTAAAGGCATTAAACAATTTGAAAACACTTTGCTATAGATTTTTAAATTGTTAGAAAAACAAGTATATTTTTCAGGTGGTAAGCACTTTAGTGCACAACTAAAACTAATTTTTAAATTTGCAGATAAGCACACGGTGGAGATAAATTTTAAACCGACATCTATTTGCTAATAACCGCCTCTCCATTACTAGTAGAAACTTGTTTGAAAAGTCAAATTTCCACACAAACCTAAACTGAATCTGGCCTATTTTCAGTAAAGTTGGGATGTCAGACCTTCCTTTTTAGCCTCAAAAGAACTTGGATGAGTTCTACCGTTTAAAATCTTTCTATAGAACAAAACACATAAGTGATATTTCAGTTAATAAGCTACATGTAAAATGTGGAAGAATGTTGTCTGTAACTCCAGCCTGTGTTAAGGTAAGTAGAAAGTGTTTTTATAGGACTTAAATACCCAGATTGTGCCAGAGCAGAAAAATTCTTTTCTTTTTTTTTTAAACTATTTAGCTTTTACAAGTGTCTCATTTCTTGTTTAAAAAATTCTATATACATACACAGCATTTTACTACATAATGTACAAGTTTTAAGTAAGCAGTTTAAAAATAAATCTAGGCTATTTGGAAGATACACTTAAGCAACAACCACATTTTATAATTTGGAAGACATATAGAAGATTGTCTACATTTAAAACGAAGAACTAAAACTTTCTTCTTGATTTGCAGCTAAAGGCATGAGATTAGTTTCCAACTCCCTTTGCTTCTGGAGAAGGCCCTGAAATCACATTGATACGTTAGTAAGGTGTGCAGCAGATGTGTAATGTAAATTATTCTTACTTTACATTTCTGTCCTGCTAAACCAGAACTATATTTACTTTTAAAACATGTATTAAGCTCAGTTACTCAGCCATAAGTTTAAACTTTTGTCATGTTGAATTTTGAATAGACCTTCAGTGCTTTAAACAGACTTTTTCACTTGGATACTATGTAGCTATCACATCTCGGTAAGATTATCTTCATATTTTTAGCATAAAGCCAACAGACCTTTCTTAGAACCATGTGTCCGTAACTGTGGGGTTGAGATCCCCTCTCTTTTCCCCAAATGCTCTTAAAGTGGTAATGAAACACACAACATCGTGTTTATCTTGACTGCCATAATTTTGTGGCTAATGCAAGGACGATATGGCCACGATGTATATGTAGGTGGTGAATGTGTCTATGTATCACATTCCTTCCTCTTAACGTCATAACTTTATAGAGAGTCTCCACTAAGCTAGAAGTAAATATGCCTTGTCATTTTAAAGGAAGATGCCTAGGTAAGATGTAGGTAAAATCTTTACTGTGTGAGTTACCAGCATTTAAAAAAACTAAAGGACACTTTATAATCCTGTGTCAGTGGAAATGATTTTCTAGCTGTAAGAAAGAACTGGTAAACAACATCTGAATCAACAGTTTGAAATGCAGCCACATAAAAAAGTACTCCTAAAAACTACAGTTTATTTTCCCCAAATACAGAAAGTATACTGTGAATCAAGGCTGTTTGTTTAAAAAAAATGACTTGCAAAATTTGTTTAAGCCCAGGGAATTGTTTTTTAAGACCAGCTGATAATTATAGCCTTAAATATTGGATATGTGACCTGTAATAAGTCACAACTGGTCTGAGAAAAAGTGGTCTGGTGAGTAAGATTATACATGTGATTTCAGGATGAATTATTCTTTGGGGCTTACTTGTGTCAATGTTCTATTCCAAACACTGCCAACACATTTTTTTAAAAATGTGAACTGCATTACTAAGAATTTATTAAAGCATAATTGTGTATTTCCTGCCTTTATTTTTAGGGCCTTACTGATCATGCTTTACCATTCAAATGTATGCATTTTTCATTCAATAAAATTGTCTTAATATTCAAAATGTCTCATGATTTCATACAGGAAAGAAATATTCTTAAAGATGGCAATGTAAAGTAAACTGAAGGAAAGTCCTTCCTCCCACCACTTTAAACTGGAAAGCAGTTAAGTCACAGAAATCATGTAACCACCTAGTAAACAGCCATTCCCACACAGCCCTCCACTAGAAAAATGGTCATATCCACGGCTTGGTGGAGCAGCTCGTACCTGTCTCAGTTCTGATAGTCCCTTAAGGATTGCTTGCTGTCGATCCCTGTGTTTCACCAAGTTAGGATTAAGAAGTGGGTACCTGAGTTGGTCAGAGTCAAATAGCTGTTGTTCTTGATCACAGTCTGAAGCCAGATGAAAATGACAGAATTCAAATACATTTCTAATAGGAAATAGCCCTGTGCTACAGTATTCTTAGGACTTGTTAATAAATTTATATCCTAGAAGAGCATGAAATAAATTTAAGTAATAAACATTAAAATTTTAATACTGGACTCTAAAAGAGAAACTCTCTCTCCTGTGGTAAAACTTGTTAGTATTAATCAAATACTAATTTGGATTTTGAATTTAGGGTTTGGCAGGGGGGGATACTTTTACTTACCACGTGGATTGTGGTAGTGTGTATCTTGGGTCAAAGGCCTAGACAGTGGTGCATCTGGATCAAGGTAATAGATCTCATTGGTTCGGACATAGGGAATAAAATCGAAAGGTTCAGAAATCCCAGGTGATAATTCCGTCTGACTACCTCCTGAGAGCAGATTCTCTCTTTCACAATTACTGCTTTTTAGTGTCTGAGTTTGTTCCGTTCTGTTTTTCACTGCCGGAACTGGTGGTGATCGAGACCTGTATTTTTCCAAAAAAATCACAGGGAGCGGCCTCTTAAGAAACATTAATGCAAAACTGTGTATTTTATTTTATACCAAGCATATTCTATAATCACATTTCAATTTATTCTAAGTGTACCCATAACACTATTAGAAACACTATATAAGAAGCTTGAGTTCTACGGTAGCTTTTCCTACAACAGGGCAACAGAATGGGACTAATTTGGGTTTTACTAGTACTTGCTGAGAGTATATATACTCTAGAACAGGGGGAAAACTTTACTCGCTCCTGAGGACCAATGTTAATTTAAGTCTAGTATTTCTTCTTAGATATAGTTCACCATAAAAATAATATACTCACCATCTGAACTAAACTTATTTTAGAGCCACATTCTGAGATAACTAAACCAGCTGGTTCATGCACAAAAACAATATAAATTCTAAATCTCCCATTGGCTAATTTCTCACTATCCTTATCAGTCATCTCCCCCCTTCCCCAATCCATGCAGAATGTCTATTCCACTGTTGACATACCTGGAAAATAAAAACTGTTCAGCTAAGTGAAGATTACAGAGAATGTCTACCACATCGCTGCTTAGGATACCAGTCCAAATTCTAGGTAAGATGCCAGATACCTTTTCTACTCACCTGGAAGTCAAACTTTCCTTTTACTGTCTTCATATACATACATATATGCTTGATCTCGTCTACATTTTGAGCAAGTATTCTGTATCACACAGAAAGCACTAAATAACTATGGAATCCATAACATACCTTTCCTTGCTGAAAGAATTAATTCTCAGAGGCTCTTCTTCCTAAAATATGGATAGGTAAATGTAAAAAGGAGTAACAGTGTTTCTATACATCCCCACAAATATTTTTAGCGGTTACTTGTTGAAATAATCTGTCTGAGTAACAGATATTTATAACTTCTCCTCTGTATGGGCTCTAAGTTTTAAGTGAGTGACTGAATATAGAATAGCATTAATCTATACATGGTTTAGATTTTTGTCCTTTAGTAAAGGACAGATAGTATATACCCTTTTGGCTTTGTGAGTCACGTGGTCTTTGTTGCACCTACTCTAAATTCTTATTGTAGCATGAAGCCAGCCATAGCCAATACATAAAACAATAAGCATGGCTGTGCTCCTATAAAACTATTTGCAAAATCAGGCAGCAGGATGGATTTGCCCCAGGCAAGTCTGTTGACCCCTGGTATAAACTAAAGCAAATTGGCAGAATTCTTATTCAGACCCAGAACAGCCATGTCAAAAAAATGCTCGTGAGGAACTGGGTTTTCATTCTAAAAACTTCAATATATGCTTTACAAAATTTTTTTGGAAGAGCTTTACCTTTGTGACTAGATGCCACCTGAACCTTGGTTCAATTTCCTGTTGAGATAAATGAAGAACTTCTGGTGAAGTGCCTCCATTTTGAGAGAGGTGTCCAGGATTATTTTTCTCCACCAAATGAAGCAGTTCCATCTGCCGCCTTATTTTTTTTTCTTCTCTCTGCTTTTGAAGCTGTTTAGGATATTTTTCTGATGCTGGAATATACCTTCTGAGTGGCTTATTTATATTCCACTCAGGCCTTTTAGGATATTTCTTCATATGTTTCGTTTGTCTCTCTGTTCTTGTGAACTGATCGTTATACCAACTGTTTTCTTTTTCTAAGTTGTCTCCTTTATCCTGACTTACTTGTTCCTGCTTGTTTTTCTTAGTGTTAAATTGTTGATTAACTGCAGGAATCTCAGAAGATGAACAATTTATAACGTCCCTCTCTATTACTGATTCACAGCAGGATTCTGATTCTGTATTGGTAAATATTTCCGTATTTAAGTCATCTAAAAGAAGATACAGATGATTAGTTTTTAAAAATTGAGGTAAAATAATACATTTTACAAAATTTACCATTTTAGCCATTTTTTTCGAAGGCATTAAAACTGCCCTCTGAAACTTTGTTTTGAAAATTAAAAAAAAAAATTCTGTACCCATTAAACAACTCTCTATTCTCCCTCCCTGCCAGCTCCTGGCAACCATCATCGTACTTTGTCTCTATGATTTTGACTACTGTAAACACCTCATACAAGTGGAATCAACAGTATTTGTCTTTTTGTGACTGACTTATTTAGCATAATGTCCTCAAAGTTTACCCGAATTGTAGCTCATGTCAGAATTTCCTCCCTTTTTAAGGATAAATAAAACACCATTGTGTGTATGTACCATAATAATATTGCACTGTATGTATATACCACATTTTGTTTATCCATTCATCTGTCAAGGGACACTTGAGTTGCTTCCACCTTTTGGCTATTGTGGATGACCAAATGCTGCTATGAACAGTTGTCCAAAAATCATTCTTCAAGACCTTACTCTTCAGTTCTTTTGTGTATACACCCAGAAGTGGAATTGCTGGATCATGTGGTAATTATATGTTGAATTATCTGAGGAGATGCCATGCTATTTTCTATACCAGCTACATCATTTTACATTCCCACCGCTTTCTCTAAACCTTCCATTAAACCATTTTTTAAGTGTACAATTCAGTGGCACCAAGCACATTCATGATGCCACACAATTCCAGACCCCATCATCACCTCAAGCACCCACTCACTCTGCACCCACTAAGCAGTAACTCCCCATTCCGCCTTCCTTCCCAACCCCCAGCAACCTCCACTCAACTTTCCATCTCTGAATTTACCCATCTGACGACCCTATATTCCTTGCATAAGTGGAACTATACAATATTTGTGTTTCCCTGCACAACTGCCCCCTCCTCTCAAGTCCAGCATAATGCCTTCAAGCGTCATTCATGCTATAGCATGTATCAGAACTTTAGGTGATTCATTTTTAGCATCACATCATAGAGACCATTTTTTAAATAAAACTTTAAACAAGATTGTCCTGACTTCCACTTGGATATACAAGATGACATTACATACGGCATTTGTTAATTATATTCATTTTTGAGAAAAAGTGTAATTTACATTTTTTTCTATCATTGATAACTGAAATTTTTCATCAAAAGAAATGCAAAAAAAAGTCTTTGTAAGTGAGATGTGAAGTTTTCTTGTTATGTTGGTTTGAAATTTGCAAAGTACATAATATGAAAGGATTTGGAAAATATCCTTCAGTTATTTTTACCCTAGAGGCGTTGGGAAAATGTCTCTCATAAAACTCCCCTCTGGGAACCAAATTTTTAGGGAAATGATGATCATGCACTTTAAAGTGTATCTCATATATGCTTTATACCATTATGGTTTGCCTGCAGACTATCCCTGAATGACATACTACCTTTCACTTTTTTCCATTTTGAAAACAGGAAAAGTTCACCATTCAAAAAAGACGTCTGAAATTTCCTTACATCTTATATAATGTTCATGATTATATATGTGCTGAGTTATCCCAAGAGTTCAGCAACAACCTCGCAAAGGCTTTCTTTCACATATGATTAAAATTTTAAATTCACAATTAGCTAATGAAAGGTCTGGATTGCACATTAAAAACAAATTAACAGTTTAGTTATTGCTTTTATCTTAGACACTTACTGTGTTATTCCAGAGTGGAACTGCTCTAGGCCTAACCACTAGCAGGACTGCCCAGCCTACATCATTTTCATTCACACTGAAAATCCTCTTTTGCCTCTCTAGACCCACGTGACACCTTTTTCTCACCTGCTCTCTGCGCTAGTCAGCTGACTGGTTAAGAACCTTATCAATGGGTTCCTGAATCCTCTGGTTTATGTTTCTGTCAAGAGAGTTCATATGCAGATTACAGGGAGGGAAAAGAATGACTTTAGAATATTTATTTCACTGGCTCATTCCCTGTGAGGTGACTTAAGGCTGACTCTCCCTTTATCAAGGTCACTGGTCCCCTCAAAGTTACCTATCTACAACTCCTACCTTCTAGATTCTGGTAACAGCTCGGTTGCTACTAGCACCAGAATCAGCACACACACTGTATTCCCTCATACCCACTCCTATGGAAACAGCCCTTTTCTAAATAAACCATCTTGAATTATTCTATTTTGGGATCCCGACTGATTAAATTCCCTTTCAGTCACCCACTGATAATATATACATAATTTCACAATCTTAAATACTTAGTTTGACTTTCTCTTAATTGATGTGTGGTATTTATATAATTTGTTATTTATTTGGACAGAGAGAACGGGCTGAAACAGATTCGTCAAGCTTAAGAGCAAACTACAAAAAAAATACCAAGAGCTCATCAGCAGAATAGTTTCAGATAACTAAGCAGGTTGCAAATTGCTTTACCCCACTTCCCTTTTCAAGTTCTTTTCTACTTTCCTGTCATATGATGTGGGTAATTTGGCATTGCATTTGGTATTGCATTGAAATAAGATCTAAAATTAACTGGCAGAACCTACAGAATGGGAGAAAATATTTCCAGAAGATCAGACTGACAAGGGCTTAATCTCCAGAATATATAAACAGCTCATACAACTTAATAATAATAAAAAAACAACCCAATCCAAAAATGGGCAGAAGACCTAAGCAAGCAATTCTCCAAAGAAGACATACAAATGGCCTATAGGCACATGAAAAAAAATGCTCAATATCACTAATTATCAGAGAAATGCAAATCAAAACTACAATGAGGTATCACCTCACACCAGTCAGAATGGCCATCATTCAAAAGTCTATAAACAATAGATGTTGGAGAGGCTGGGGAGAAAAGGAACCTTCCTACACTGCTGGTGGGAATGTAGTCTGGTGCAGCCATTATGGAAAACAGTATGGAGAGTCCTTAAAAAACTAAAAACAGACTTACCACATGATCCAGTAATCCCACTCCTGGGCATATATCCAGAGGGAACCTTAATTGAAAAAGACACTTGCACCCCAATGTCCACAGCAGCACTATTTACAATAGCCAAGACATGGATACAACCTAAATGTCCATCAACAGATGACTGGATAAAGAAGTTGTGGTACATTTATACAACGGAATACTACTCAGTCATAAAAAATAAAATAATTGCAGCAACATGGATGGACCTGGAGATTGCCATTCTAAGTAGAGTAAGCCAGAAAGAGAAAGAAAAACACCACATGATATCACTTATATGTGGAATCTAAAAACAAACAAACAAACAAACAAAAAAATGAACTCATTGAGAAAACAGAAGCAGACTCACATAGAAAACAAACTTATAGTTATGAAGGGGAGGCAAGGGAGTAGAAAGGGATAAAAATTGGGAGATCGAGATTTGCAGATACTAACTAATATATATAAAACAGATAACAAGTTTATATTATTTGGAACAGGGAACCATATTCAATATCTTGTAGTAACCTATGGTGAAGAATATGAGAATGAATGTGTGTATGCTCCTATGTGACTGAAGTATTGTGCTGTACACCAGAAATTGACACAACATTGTAAACTGACTGTACTTCAATAAAAATATATTAAAGTGTAAAAAAATAAAATAAATGGCAGAAAACAGTGCTATGTTAGAGGATGGATTTCCTTAAGACATTTTGGGCTTAGGGTTCTGTACTAGCCAACTCGAGTGGCTTTTTGATATTTCGAGAGAAATATTTTCTCCTAACTTATGGCCAGCCAAATTGGTTTCCGTCTTTTTAAGTTACGAAGGGGTCCACAAGACTACAAATAACTGACGGGGGTGGGGGGTCCATTAATTTTAAAATTAGTTTAAAGAGTAAAGGGTTCTCGTTAAAGATGGTGACCTAGGAACTAGATCCTGAACTCACCTCCTATGAACACACCACATCTATAGTTACATATGGAACAACTTCCTCTCACAAAAAACCTAAACTGCCTGGGTGACTCCTACACACTGAGCAAGCAAGAAAGACACCACATCAAAGCAGGTGGATGAGATTGAGACACAAGCCATAAACCTCACTGCTGCACAGTAATCCATAATTGGGAGGGAACTCAAAACACAGAGGTTCTCCCTAAGGAGTGAAGTGTTTGAACCCCACACTGGGCACCCCCACTTTTAAGATGTGCACCGAAGAGATAATCCTCCAAAACATCTAGCACTGAGAATCAATGTGGTTCATGTCTATAAGATACAAAGCTATAGCAGAAGGGAGAGACAGCCTTCAAAGGGCATGTCCTGGGGCGTCAGCCTGAGGGGCAGGCTTCAGGTTTGGCACACATCTAGGCTTACCGAGGTGCTCTCAGGAATGAAGGCTGCTGGACCCCACCCTTGCACTCACTCACTGCCTCGCTACAGTTTGCTGTATCTCCCAGAAAACAGCTTATACACTTCACGGAGCCCCAGTTTTTGCTACTGCCATCCGGGACACAACTCCAGAATGCCTTGCTCTGGTGGCCAGTGGAGCTTATGCTTGCAGTCCCATAGGACTGTATATTCTTGCATACTTTGAAAGCTCCTGCCTGTGGGTCTGGCTTCCAATCAGCCTTAATCTAGATGCTTAGATTCCCCTCACCACCCTTTGGGAGACTGACAAGTCCTGACATACCCTCAACTGCTGGGAGCTATTAAAAACAAAACAGTCTGCTTGGACAACCACAAAGGTTTGAGATACAGCAAAGAGCAAGGGTAGGAGTGAATAAGGTCCATCTCCCACACAAGGCTGCTCCTTTAAGACACAGAGATGACTGTTTCATCTAATGTGCAGAAACCAACATAGAGAGTCAAGAAAAATGAAGAAAGAGAGGAATATATTCCAAATGAAAGAATAAGATAAAACCTCAGGGGAAAAGAGTTCAAAGTAAGTAACAATCATAAAGATGTTCACTGAATTCAGGAGAGGAATGGAACACAGTGAGAACTTCAAAAAAGAGAAAATAAGAGAAAGTACCAAATAAAAGCCACAGAGCT